GGGGAGGGAGGGAGGGAGAGGGAGGAAGGTAGAGAAGGGGGGCGGAGAGAGAGAGGAAATACACAGAAAAAAATAAAAATTTTTGATTTTAAATTTACATTTAAGAATATAAAGCAGAGAAAAAGTAAAAAAATCAAAGGGGAAGGGAGAAAGAGAAAGCAAATTTAAAAATTAAAGAGAAAACACACACACACACACACACACACACACACTCCAGTTCTTTCTAATCATGGTGTGCACCATTGTCTAAGAGGAATGACTTGTGGCTGGAGCTAGTTGGAATTCCTCTCAGCTACTTTGCACAATGGAATGAGTTAACATGGAACGTGGAGTGGAGTTCGAAGAGTCTCTCTCTAGCTATTTGGGCTCTGCACTCCACGCACTTGCTGAATGCTGGTGATGTGGCTTGTCCCTGCACCCCCTGCAGGTGGGACGGGGTAAGGAACCCACAGAGATCAGTGCTGGAAGGACTGAGGGGCAGCAGGCTCCACGTGATCTACCACCCATCATCCTGATGCTCTCAGGCTTAGCTCCCACGCAAAATCACACGTGGCTTCCACTCCCTTGGACTTAAGTTGACAGGTTTTCAAAACTGCAGATTTTAAACTGCTCCCTTCCACGTTGCCATCCCGTTTCCCATAACGGAATTCTCAGTGTGTTTGTGTCAGTCTTTCCCCCAGGCAAAGTGGTGCATGAGGGAGCTGCTCATACAGGCACTGAGTAAAATTCCCACAGGTTCCAGGGTCACCGATGTAGCAAATTGCAGGAGCCTCTGATTCCCAGAGCAATAAACTCAGATTCCTCTCAGCTCTATGGGAATATACTACTGGGAAGTGCACAGAACTTCCCCAGATCCCACTCACTGCGCGGTTCCCAGGTCTCTTGTCGGTCTTGACTGTATATCTATCTGCTAGGGGCTGAATTCTGGGCTCACGGAGCTCTGTGGGACTCTTCCTTTTCCCCATCCCCACCAGAGTGGGTGTTCCTGCTCCCCCTGACATGCTGCTGTGTGATCAGTGCTGGGGTCTCTTTCTCCCAGCACCTGGTATCCAAAATCTTTGGGTTTCTCCAGGTCTCTTTCTTCTCTTTTGTTGAATTCCAGCACTCTCCCACAGTCACCCACCTCAGTAAGCAGCTACCCACCTGCTGACTTAATTCTAACACATGGAGAAGCAGGCGGGTGCTGGGTGCTGGGTGCCTCTCATCTGTCAGCTTGAATTCCCAGTACAATATGGTGATGCTCTAATATAATGATATGTTTTAATATGATCAATCACATAATCATTATACAATTAAAGTATAGAATAATAATTTATCCTTTTATATAATTATACATGATATTTACTATGTAGTTATATAAACATATAAATAAGTCAGCTTGAATTGCTTTCTCAGGGCCAGGATATATTGGTATACTGAAAAATCAAATTCCATAACTTTATTTCCCAGATATAAATAAAATGGATAATGTTCTGTTGTGTTGTTTTGTTTCGTTGCAGCCTGGAAATGAAGTGTATCCTAAAGATGAGAATGGCAAGTGGTTGTATCATAAATCAGATCTGTGTGCCACTTGGGAGGTATGTTCACATGGCCTCTTACTTTAAAAAAAAAACTACATTTTCAGGGCTGTGATCAAATTGTTCCTGTCGGGTTTATGGCAAACCGTAGCCTTTACTCCCGGTGGAAATTAACAGTCAGAGCCAGTATTTCCAACCCCGAGTACAGACACATGAAATCTCCATTCCTGGTGCTGATGATTCTTCCTTTTGTTTTGCTGAGGAGAAGAAGGCCAAGGAAAGGGAAGAGGAAGGTGTGGAAGTAGGGAAAAAAAAAAGGAAAGGAGATAGGTTCTCACGGAACGGCAATGGAAAAAACGTAAATGAGATATACAAATTTTAAAAACTGAATTGAAAAAATTAATTCTATGATGTCTAAAAGAGACAAGATGATACATCAAAGCTAAAAAATAATTCTGGTTCTATTTTTGAACAAGTTGTTGGCTCCTTCCCCAAGAACACAAAAGTGGGGAATTCTAGGAGAACAAGAGTTTGAATTCATGGATATGGGAGGGACGCTTTGAGCTGGCTTGTTCCCGAGGCGAGGTGGACGCTGTGACCTAGAGAAGGCAACCCAACAGGCAATGAGAGGATAGTACAGCAGGAGAGAGTACCGGCCTTCTCTCTGCACTTTCTTCTCCTCTGCCATAGTCAGAAACTCACGTTCAATGGCCAGGAATCAAATCAGATCGACATTGAACTCTGCACTAATCATAAGCTGAGAAAATCACGTTGTGAACTGATCTCTGACAGCTGTTTTACACACACACACACACACACACACACACACACACACACACACACACCATTCCAAACTCCAAAGGCTAGGAAATTACATGAATATGTAATTTACATTGACTGTATCTTTCTCTACACTCTCTCTGGGAAGTAACAGTTGAAGATCTGAACTACAGTTTTGAGGGTGCAGGAGGCACTGTGTAGGTTTTCTGGTACCTACGCTGTCCATTCAGGAGACGATACACACATTTGCTCTGGACCTCCCTGTTGCTGACCAGGTTTGGAGGCTGGTGTTCCAGTCTGCGGGACGGCCTGAGAGAGTGGCCCATATCCCTAGGAGAAGATGAGTTCACAGTTCAAAATGACAAGGCACTGTTTCACTAGGAAATAATATATCTCAGTTGCAGATCCCAATATAAACAAAGCAGAGAACCAGTGATTTTTAAATTAGCCAATTAATATATGAAAGGATATAAGAAAAGATATTAGCCATGTGGGGAAAAAAGAACAATTAAACATTTTAAATGAGCAAAAATAATAACCAGAAAAATTTAAAAAATCAATGAAAGAAATTGGGATAAATAGTAGAATGGATATGGATAAGAAAAAGACTTTTTTTTTTTTTATGTTGGATGTTGAACCCAGAGATGCTCTTAACACTGAGCTACATCCCCAGGCTCTTTTTATTTATTTGTTTATTTTGAGACAGTTACTGAAGCTGGCCTTGAACTTGAAATCCTCCTCTGCCTCCTGAATAACTGGGATTATAAGTGTGCACCACAGAGCCCAAATAAGAAAAAAAATATATTAAATTAAAAAATCAGAGTGATGAGATTTCCCAACATGAAGAAGGAAAGAAGAAAAACATTTTAAAGAGAAAAGCTAAGAGATGCAAAAAGTGAAATTAGAATTTCCAGTATACACATAATAGAGATCTAATAAAAAAAGGAAAAAAAGTAATAGTTGAATTAAAAAAGATATTGAGCAAATCCTGGAGTACTAACAAGAAAAGACAAGAAAACACACACCTAGATGAATTGGGGGTGAAATTTCAGAATACCAGACGTGAGGAGAAAATGTTAAAATTTCCAGACTATTGCAAATGAGCCAATGAAGGAAGCAAAACCAAATAATGAAAAACAATCAGCCCAGGAGAAGGCAGGAAAAAAAGACGGAAAATGAAAATATGGGAAAACAGAAAACAAATAGCAAGATGAGAGATGTTAAGTGATATCAGTAATCACGGAATATATAAATAATCTAAGCATCCCAGTTCAAGACATGTTGTCAGAATGGATAATAACCAATGTCACTATACATTTTCTACAAAAAACTCATTTTAAGTAAAAAAAAAAAAAAACCACAAAACTTGTTGTGTTGGTGCATGTCTATAATCCCACCTACTTGAGAGACTGGGGCAGGACAATTGCAAGTTTGTAGCCAGCCTCAGCAATTAAGTGATATCCTGTCTTAAAAAAAAAAATTAACTTAAAAAGAATTGAGGGTGTAGCTGAGAGGTAGAGTGCCCCTCAGTTCAATCCCCAATTCTGCAAGGGAAAAAAAAGTTAAAAATTTTTTTAAAAAATAAAAGGATAGAAAACGATATTCTAGGCTAACACTAGTCAAAAGAAAACTTGAGTGGCAATTTTAATATCAAGACTTCAGAGCAAAGAGAATTAGCAGAGATAAAGGGGCAGTCCTAAACACTATGCACCTAATAACAGAACTTCAAAATATATGAAGCATAAACTAAGAGACCTGAACAGAGAAAGAGAATAATTCATGTTCATAGTTAGAGATTTCAAAGCCTCTCTTCCATTAATTGAAATAATAAGTATATGGAAAATCTTTACAATATTTGAAATTTAAACATTATCAACATTTTGACCTTGTAATATTTACGGAACACTATTTTTCAAGTACACATGGAACACTTAACAAGATAGGCCATTTTTTGAGAAATAAAATAAATCTCAATTTTTAAAATATTCTAATTACGCAATGCACTGTCTTATCTAATTGGAATTAAGTTCAAAATCCATAAAAACTGTTTGAAAAAACCACCAAATATTTGGAAGCCTAACATGAAAAAAACCCATAAGACAAAAAGGAAACAAAATCTATGCATCCATGTCCTAGCAACACACAATTAGAAATTAACTTTTTAAAATATTAAATATTTAGAGATAAATTTTACAAAATAATTGAAAAACCTATACAGTAAAAACTACAATATGTTCTAAGAGAAATCAAAGATCTGAATGAATGGAGAAGCATACAATCCCTTGATGCTCAATATGGTTAAAATGTTAATTATTCCTAAATTTATATGAAGATTTGATGCATCTGAGTCAAAATAGAAATTGAAAAGCTAATTCTAAAATTTATATGGAAGGGCAAATAATCCATAACGGCCAAAGAACTTACAAAAAAGAAAGAAAGAGAAGGAAAGGAAGAAAAGGAGGGATAAATTTGGAGGACTTCTACTAACTGATTTTGAGAATTGTGATACAACTATAAGAATCATGACGGTGACGTATTGTCGGCATAAAGATGCATATGTAGATCAACGGAACAGAGCAGGGAGTGCTAAAATAGACCTAAACGGGTCAAATGAGTTTCAGCAGAAAGGCCAGGGCACTTCAGTGGGAGAGGGATCATCTTTTCAGTGGTGAACTGAAACTGGCTCATACCAGCTTTCGAGAACTGTGCAAATCTTCCTAACTCCAACACTGGTGATGCCCTGTTAGATTAACTGCCACTAGTGTGAATAATTAGACAATAAAACTGATGAACACCATAAAATGGGGCTTCTCGCCACCCACAGCCAGTTGTTAAACAATTATTTATCAGCATTCTACTGGAGGTGTTGAAAATCTTGATGGTAGTGATAATCTTACTGGTGCATCCATATGATTCATCAAAATGCAGGCTTCAAATATGTGCAGTTTATTGTATATCAATTATAATTGATCGATTTTTTTTAAATTAGAAACTTCCAGAAAGAAAGAGTTAGTCACATAAAATTAATTTGATGTGAGTTTTGTTTTATTACCAGCACCACTGGATGAAAAAAAAAAGATATAGTATTTTCAAAGTGTTGAAGAATAAAGATTGCTGTCTTTGTATTTTATATCCAAACTATAAGGAAAAATTATGTGTGATAAAAATAGCTTCAGATCTTACATGTGCTTAGAAATTTTGCTACATACAAAACCCATCAAAAAGCTATTAGGGAAAAAAAAAGAAAAACCATTAGGGGCAATGATCTAAAAGATACTTCAAGAAATGTATAAACTGAAAGTGATCAAATTAAACTTAAAACTACTCAATATCTACAACATAGTTAAGATCAAATAGTATTAGGAGAATATAGTCATAATAAACTACAATTAAAGTTTCAGTATTAACATCACAGATGTTGGAGGTAGACCATGAAATATGGCCAGGTGTGGTGGTGCACGCCTGGAATCCCATTGGTTTGGGAGACTGAGGCAGGAGGACAGATAGTGAATACAAAACCATCCTCAGCTACTTAGCAAGGACCTAAGCAACTTAGAGAGACGCTCTCTCTAAATAAAATATAAAAAGGGCTGGGGATTTGGCTCAGTGGTTAAGCTTTCTAAAGGGTTCAATCCCCAATACAAAAAAAAAAAAAAAGAAAAAAGTATAAACATGCTAACATCTTGTCCTTGTTAAGGAAAACATTATAGGAACATATATATATTTTTTAAAGTAAGAATTAAACAGAAGAAGTGAGATAAACTGGAATAAGAAGATACAAAGTCCTATTAAAAGACAAACAAGTATTGACAGATTAAAATTAAAATGAGGCACATAAGCAGAAAGCCACCTTAAAGTTAAAAATTAAAGGTGAAAAAGAAATATGGTTAAATACTTAGAAAAAAGTTAATATAGTTTACTGAGAAGATATACAATTTTAAACACATATATGCTAAATAAAATATTTTCAAAACGTATAAAGGAAAAGAATTGATAGAATGCTGGAAGACACTGACAAGTCTACTAGTACATGGGAAGCTTCTGACACATTCCTTTCAAGTACCCAGAAACCAATTTTAGGTATAATGTGGGTTTGTGGGTACACAGACATAGATCTATGAGAAAGAGTTTGCATCCAAACATAGGAAAACTTACATTTGCCACACACACTAGAAGATTTATGAAAATTTATCATGTACTATGCCACACAGAAACTCTCCACAGATGTCAAGCAATCGATCATCATTGGCATGCTGGTATGCATCGTGAAAAAACAAGGGAAGGTACAGTAGAGAATATTTTCCAAACTCATTCAATCAGAGCCCTGCCTTTCTCCACCTGCTTTTGTTTCTTCCTTCACAGAACAGGTGTCAACCTACCCAGCTTTCCCATCTAAATAATTTACAGTTGGCCTTACAAGTATTCGTCCTTGCTTCTTGTGAGGTTTATTTCATAACCTGCTGACGTTTACCCTACAGGCCTTAGAAGCTTGCAAAGATGCAGGCTTGGTGAAGTCCCTTGGCGTCTCCAATTTTAACCGCAGGCAGCTGGAACTCATCCTGAACAAACCAGGACTCAAATACAAGCCAGTCAGCAACCAGGTACAGCCTACCAGCTTCCCCTGGGGTGGAGGGGGGACCCCGATATAGTATTTAAGTAACAAGAAGCTTGGACTGTGCGTCACGAAGTCTTGTTGCTCCACAGGAATCTCATCAGAGGATCCTGGGAAAATCTTAATTTCTCTCAACTTCTGTCTTTAGGAAAAAAAAAGATTTGTAAATTCAAATCTAGGCAAAAGTAAGCAAAAAGGCTTTTGAAGCAGAAAAGGAATGAGGTGGAAATAAATCAGACTTGCCAGATATTGACACAACATGAGTATTTAAAACAGAGTTCAGTGGGGCAAAGTAATATGGGGCAAAAATATGGAGATGATGAATGTTTAGAAACAGGCCAAAGTATAATCAAAACTTAATGTAGGGGCTGGGGATGTGGCTCAAGTAATAGTGCGCTCACCTGGCATGCGCATGGCCCTGGGTTCTAGCCTCAGCACCACATACATATAAAATAAAGATGCTGTGTCCACTGAAAACTAAACAATAAATATTAAAAAATCCTCTCTCTCTCTCTCTCTCTCTCTCTCTCTCTCTCTCTCTCTCTCTCTCTCTCAACAAACAAACAAACAAACAAACAACAACAACAACAAAAAACTTAACATAGCCAGGCACAGTGGTGCCTGCCTGTAATCCCTGCAGCTCGGGAGACTGAGGCAGGAGGATCACGGGTTCAAAACCAGCCTCAGCAAAAGTGAAGCGCTAAACAACTCAGTGAGACTCTGTCTCTAAATAAAATACAAAATAGGGCTGGGGAGGTGGATCAGTGGTGGAGTGCCCCTGAGTTCAATCCTCAGTACATCCTCCCTCCCCTCAGCCAAAATGAATAAGTAAATAAGTACTTAATGTAAAATAAAGTAGCACAAACTAACGGTAGAGGGATGAAGTCTTCAGTTGATGGTATGAGAAAAACATGTCTAGATATGTAGAAATAAACAAGCCCTTTACCTCCTACTGCACTCCAAGATTAATATCCTTTTGATCAGAGTTGTTTCAGTCAGCTTTTTTGCTGCTATGACTATAGGACAACTGTAGAGAAGGAAGAGTTTATTGGGGGCTCACGGTTTCAGAGGTCTCAGTCCACACACAGCCAGCTCCGTTCCCTGGGGCTGGAGGTGAGGCAGAAGAGTGTGACGGAGGGAAGCAGCTCATATGGTGATCAGGAAGCAGAGAGAGACTCCACTCTCCAGATACAAATAAATTCCCCATGACCACGTCCCCAGTGACTCACCTCCTCTAGCCACACCCCACCTGCCTTCAGATACCACCCAATTAATCCCATCAGGTGACTAGTTCACTGATTGGGTTAAGGATCTTGTAGCCCATCTTGCATTGTGTCACAAGTGAGTTTTGCAAACCATAACAGTTTTTTTCAAAGTGGAAATCATTTACAAATACAACAAAAGAATTTTAGTTTTCTGGGGCTATTGATACAAAGAGAAGCCATGGAAAAAAATCATAAAGAAAACTGATACATTAAAGAGTATAAAAATGCTAAACTCTCAAAACACTAGAAACAGAGAGCAAGCAAAAGTAATTATGTTTTTAAATATATAGGGTTCATATCCTTATGAATTCAAAGGCTAGCGTAAATAATCTTCAAGGAGAAACATTAAGGCTCAACAGAAACAATGACAGAAATGAACAGAAATCCACAGAAGACTCATTAGAAAATGGATAAACATGACGAATGTTCAACTCACTGGTAATTAGAGAAACTTACGTGTAATGATTTTGGACTGTGTCAAATTAGTAAAGCTATTGTGTTCTGTTTTATTATAACACTCCCGTAAAGAAAGTGATAAAGTACTGGCAAGTGCCAATTGGTTCAGCCTTAATAGAAAGTGATTTGACCACATGTATCTAGAGCCCTAAAAAAAAAATGTTAGTTATGAAAAAAAAGAAAAAACTGGCAACAACATAATATGAAAAACTAGGGGAAGAATGATTAATCATGAGATGTCCTTACTATATGAAACCTTAACAAACTATATTCTGGAATGATTTGGGGGGAAAAGAGAAATGAACATGAGATTTAGGGAAAAGACCAGGATACAAAATGCAATGTACAGGATGGAGGTGGTTGTATTGTTAAAAGGGATTTCACTGAAGAACAGTTTCTTAAAACTATGTAGAAGTGCATTAAACCACAAGGCCTTAATCCTGCGCCCTGATCTTCTATGCCACCACTTAGGTCGAGTGCCACCCCTACTTCACTCAGCCAAAACTCCTGAAATTCTGTCGACAACATGACATTGTTGTTGTTGCCTACAGCCCTTTGGGGACCTCTAGGAATCCACTCTGGTGAGTAAGGCTGCACGTCTCTTCAGGAATTGTTACATGGGGTGGGGTGGGGGTGAAGGTGGTGGGAGCTCCTTCTCTGGGAGACTGGCTGAGTGATCTTGAGAAAGGAACAACCTTTTCAAGTGTTTTCCATACAAACAAATTAGAGCTGATACTACCTTCCTCGCTGAGATAAGTGTTGATCACATTCAATCTTCGAAATTATCTCTCGGTGCTTAACAAGTAGGAAATGCTCAATGAATCTTAGTTTAATTATTATTTGACAAAGAGTTTCTAGGGCCATGTTCCTAAATTTTTGAAGTTTTGGACTTCTGGATTCAGTGGCAGCATTTCTCTTGGATGTGTAGGATTTTTTTTCTACTCGGATTCCAAGAACTGTGCCTCTGTTTCTTCTGCTCCTGTTTCCTTGCTTTTCCTTCTATGTCTACTACTAATCCTGCGAAGACTTATTGAGAAAATATTAATTCATCCTCAAAACATCAACTCCATACACTCGTCTCTCTTGGCCTCCTTGTGTTAACTGCTATTCTTCCTTCAATGAGTTCTTCACGCTCAGAGGCATTGTTACAGGTGACCTCAAGTGTCCCCATAAGTGACCAGGTGAATGGGGAGGCAGGAGAGGGTGACTGATGAACTCTTAGTTCTCATCTTCCCAACCTAATACGCATGTGCTACTTCTTTTTTAAGGGTGAATGTATCTTCTCCACCTTTGTTAAATGATGCACTTCTAAACTCACTGGGGAAAAAGTATCGCAAGACAGCAGCTCAAGTTGCTTTGCGTTTCAACATCCAACGAGGGGTGGTGGTCATTCCTAAAAGTTTTAAGCCTGAAAGGATCAAAGAAAACTTTCAGGTAAGGAAATTATTTTTTTGACGTGTGGAAAGATGGCTCTGTTTGTTGCTTTGCTTTCAGAGAATGTTCTTGAAAATTGTAATTACTAACACCCAATAACTCCCCCATAACCTCAATTTCAAATATCCCCTTCCCCTGGGTCATCAATTATTCCTCTCTATTATATAACTCCCACCAACAAAGAAACAAGCTGTAACCTCCAATCTTAAAAAAACAAAATCCTATGTTTGTATAAATATGTCAAAATAGACTACTGTCATGTGTAACTAAAAAGAATGAATTTTTAAAAAAAAATTTAATGTAGACTCACTTTTTTTTCTCTAGAAGTTTGACTTCTCTCTTTCCACTTACAGCAAACCCCCTGAGAGAGAAGTCTGTTCTAGTTGCCCTGAATTTGCTTCGCTTTGCATCTCTGAGACCCATTCAAACCAAGACTTTACCCAAACTGTCCGATGGGAACAGAGCTGATCAAGGTGCAGGGATCTTCTCATGGCTAGTCCTCATAATTAGCTCCCAGTCCTTGTCCTACCAGACCTTTCCACCAGATTTAATACAGTTGCCACCTCTCCTTCTTGGAACATTTCCTGTTATGGAAAACTATAAGAGATGCAGGTGCCAAGGAGACTATCAGGAGTTTGGTTTTCTAATGTGAAATCTCCATTCACTTAAGACGGCAGGAAAAGAAGAAAGTACCATTGAAAAATCAGTCCACATTAAACAAGGGAAATCAGTGCCTAGAAGTAATGCAGAGAGGAAAAATTTGGAAGTTTATCTTAAAATTGAAACCAAAGTTTATGAAAGCAAGTATGCTTATTTTATTCTCAACAAAATTTAGCTTCCAATTGCATATGTGCACCGACTCCTAGAAGAAACAAAGTGAATCGAGTGTTGATGTTTCAAAATATGCTTTGAAATTATGTGAAAACACAGGATGATGTCCCATATTTCTCAAAGGCTTTTGCAGAAAGATCATAAAGAGAGGGCTTTATCTGAAAAGGATTTTTAATCCTTGGGATTTTTTTTCTCCCAGTCTTATTCTTTTGGTATATCTCCCAAAGTAGATTTGAAACTGTGCCAGATTCTTATTTTTAAAAATTGTGGCTATAATTAGAATAAATCTCTGAAGTCACTCCCATTGAGCTCATGAAATCCTGTGTTTTTACAAGACTTTATTCACCTTGTCATTAGAATTCCTGGCTTTTCACAGGAATGGAAAGCTGACCTACCAGCGAGGCACAAAGGAAGTTTGAATAGGATTCATTTTTTTAAGTGATTAGCTTATTCATGATGTTTTATATTGTGAAGTTTTTATTCCTTTTTCTATCTCATAAACTCCAATACTTCAGTGATGAATAATCAAATAAAAACATTCCTTGAAAGAAAAACACTTGGAAATAATCCATGGTGGAATGATTTAAATAAATCATGTTAGGTGTGTACTATGAAAAGTGATTAAATTAATAACATCAGCCTATGCATTCTGATTTAAAAAGACCACTAGTATCACTAAGACACTGCATAAACACAGAAAAGTTTAGGATAATAAAGATATTCTGTGTTAACTACCATTTTTTCCCTAATGTGCTTAATATCTGTGAGGAATATACAGGAGGAAAAATAAGACAGGGTGTTGAGTGATGAGAGGAATTTTCCCTTTTTACTCCATATCTATTAGTTTAGTTGTGTACAGACCAAAAAAGCATAAGTATTTCTGTAATTTTAAAATTTATAAATCATTAAGTATGTTAAAATAGAAGTTAAAGGGTAGAAAAATAAGCAATAAAGAGAAGAAAATTATAAACAGATGAACTGTTAAAAATAAGTGAAAATAAAATATAAATATGCTAATGAAGGACAATCACAAAACCAGAGTGCAAAAAGAAAGGTATAAAACTAAGAAAAAACAATAAGAATGAAAAAGTAAAAAAGACATTAACAATGATGAGAGAAAGTGTTTCACAGATAAAACAAAGCACGTCAAAAGTTTAAAAACGGGCAATTTTAGAGACAAGAAAAAATATTTCTTTTAAATGAAAAGTGTAAGAAGGCAGTAGTCCATAATCAAAAATTCAGCATCGTATGTGGAAATAAGAAGGGTTCTTGGCATTTGGAATTTCAGATTGCCTGAACATGTGTTGTTTCAGAGCACTTGCAGTTTCTGTAAGATGTCCTCAGCATAACTATCTTAAAGACCAAGAGCAGAGAGTCCAGCTCCACATGATGGGTGGCCCCCAACACTAACCCAACTCGGACAACCCCAAGATGCTGGTCCACCTCTGAAGGGACCCCACTGCTGGCTCTGCTCCCTGATCTCATCTTGACCCATGACTACCTTCAAGAATATTCTTTTGAAAAAAAAAAAGTTCTTTTGTTTTCATTATTTCAGCTCTTTGACTTTTCTCTCACTGAAGAAGAAATGAAGAGCGTTGAAGCCTTGAATACAAATATCCGCTTCGTGGAATTGCTCATGTAAGTTCTGGGGGATGGCTGCTCTGGCACTGCCCATTAGTATTGGATTGGCAAGTGTCAAGGAACAAGCCTCCTAGGAACCCTGACGTTGGTTCATAGAGAGCACCGGGGTAAAGAATGGGCAGCAGGTTCTGAATACTAAACACACCTGGGTGAAATACTCCCCTGAAGGAACTTCCTAGAACATCTTATGACATCCTGTGACAGGTGAAGGCATGGCGGACTCAGCACCTCTAGGGAAATTAATTCATAATGTACATAGGTCAAAACAATAGCAGCACAAACATGGAAATAACATTTATTTCTTCCTAAAAATCAAAGCAACGTCCAAATTAGAGAAAATTTATTTAAATTTTTTTTTCTTTCTGGCAGACAAGTATAATGATGTAGGAGAAAGAGCACAAGGTTGGGACCATGAACATGGTTTCATACAAATACTTTCTTGCTAATAAGACTTAGAAGTTATATTCCTTCAAGGTATTGCCAA